ATGGATGCAGAGTGGGGAGCTGGGGGTGCAGGAAGTGGGGTGGGGGGGCTGCGGGGGGGGAGCAGGGGGCCGGGAGGGGTCAGATGTTGGGTTGTCGATAGGATGGGATCCCAAAGTGACCCCAAAGTGACCCCAAAGTGTCCCTAAGTGACCCCAGAGTGACCCCAAAGTCCCAGTTCCTGCACCCCCAGCTCCCCACTCTGCATCCATCTGAAGCTGACGGCGCCGCCACCACACCCCAAAATAACCGCTCGTTTCCGCCCAGACGTGTGGGGCTGCTTATGGGGCTGCTTATGGGGCTGCTTATGGGGCCGACCCACCTTGCGCCCCACACCGAGGATGGGACCCCTGGCGCCGTCCCCGCGCTCCGCGCACCCCAACTTTCGCCTCTTCCCCATTTTGCCCTGTTGCATCCCACAGCCTTCGAAACTGCCCCACAGCTTCCTGCCCCCGCGTCCCCACGGGTGACAACACCCCACCGGGGGCAGAGGGGCCCCCCGTCCTCATCCCGGCAGGGACACATCCCTATAGGGTGCGTGACCCCAAGCAGGAAGAGGCAGCCAACCCACAGTTACCCTTTGCTCTCCGCCTTTACGACCTGCGACGGCAATGGGGACAAAGTCTCCTCGCCGTGGCCCCACCGCCCCACGCTGCCCCACGCCGCCCCATAGCGAGCTGCCCCCATCCCCTGCCCACCCCATACCTCGCCCTGGTGCAGCGGCCGCCACTCACGGCTGCGGGATCGCTGCAGCATCCCGGCGCTTTGGGGTCGGGATGCTCCAATGGGATCCGTGGGGTTGTGGTGTCCCAGCGGGGGCGCTGCGCTATGGGGAGCTCTATGGGGTCGGGGCGCTGGGTGGCCCCGCTGTGGCTCTGGGCGCGCTGTGTGCTTCCTGTTGGTGTTATGGGGCGGAAGAGCAGCGCTCCCCAGATGCGGAATTGCCTCCTGGGAGGGCTGTGGGGCGGGCAGAAGGGCTGCGCGTGTGGGGCTGAGGCTGGGAAATGTCCCATAAGGGTTTCTCCCACCTGGGCGATGTCACCGGCCCGGCAGCGCTTGGGAAAGGCGAGGAATGCAGGGGGACGGCAACACCCCACAGCTCTGCCCCATAGCACAGCACAGCCCTACAGCATGGGGTGCGCAGCAGAAAAAACCCAATGGTGAATCCTGAGGCGATGGGGCTGAGCCCGTGGGTGCGTGAATTGTGGTGTGGGGCTGAGATCGGGATTGGGGTCAGCGTTGGGTTTAGGGCTGGCATTGGGGTCCTGGTGCTGGCACGTGTCCCCCCCCCCTTTAAGCGCAAGGTGATCACAAAGAGGCGCTGGGCCGTGGGGAGGACGCGAGACCCCACGGTGCTGCTGTGCCCCACAGGTGGGTCGACCCCGCTGTTGGACACCCCATAGAGAACGGGATCAGGGAGCAGCCCCTCACCCACCCCATGTAAGGGACCCCCCAGAAGGGCCCCTCCTTACTTACAGGTGTGGGTGAGCTCTGTGGGGTGGCACCCACCCGCTCCCCTCCCTCCCCAGGTGACACCCGCCCTACAAGGGAGGAGCTGCTGCGGTTCCCTGTTAACCCTTTTCTGCCTCTTTTTGCCCCATAACAGCGCCGGCATGGAGGGACCCCGACAGCCCCATTCTGCAGCGCCACGGGGGGATGAACACAGCGGCCGGCCCCACAGCCTGCCCCACTGCGCGACACTGAGGGGCGGCCCTGGGAGCCCCCCTGTGCCATCTGGGAGACGTCGGGATGATGGCAGTGAGGGACAGCACCGATCCTACAGCCCCACATCCTGCACACAGTGGGTGGCATTGCCTGTCCCCGCGTCCCCTCTTGGCACATCTGACCCCAAAATGTGGGGAGTCCCCGTCCCCATGTCCCCCTGTGCCCCCTGGGGATGGAGAGACGAAAAAGTGAAAGGGATGGGGACACAGAAACCCCAAAGGAATGGGGACTGCAGGCCCTGGGGAGCCCTGTCCCTGTCCCACCCCATGGGATGGGGAACCGAAACCCACAGGGATGGGGACACTGAACCTTGAGGACCCCCCATCCCTGTCCCAGTGCCACCCTATGGGATGGGGACACCAGACCCTGGGGAGCCGCGTCCCCGTCCCATTGCACCCCCAGGCGAGGGGTACTGAAGACGCTCTGCCCCACGGAGCACCGGTCGCTGATGCCCCACATGAAGCCCAGTGTGGGGACACTTATGGGGTGTCGCATACCTGCACCTCCCGCTGTCTCCTGGAGCTCTCGGCGGGGCTGGGCTCCACTCGTAACGTGGGGAACCCATAGGATCCCACCTCGTCGGGGTACAGCGGCTGCGGGGCGGCCATGGGGGGCAGCTCCTTGACGTACTGAGCGGGGACGTAGAAGGGCCGCGCATCGCCGCTCCTCCGGACGTGCCACCAGTGCTCGTTGGTGCGCCCCAAAAGCACGTAGCGCTCATTGGGGTGGATGGAGACCACGGTGCCGTCCTTGGTGCGGTACTCAAAGCCGTATTCCACCAAGACGTAGACCTCCTCCGCCTCCATGGCGGCCCTATAGGGCACAGCGCCCCGTCCCGGCTCGCCCCGCGTTGGGGCCCCGTGGCCCAACCTATTTCCTCCTCCCCAGGAGGGAGGGATGGGGCGATGGCGGCCGACGGGATGCGGCGGGTTCCTGCGGCAGGAAGGGCCCAACCCAGCGGCCTCGGGGTCTGCGGGGAGGGGGGAGCCGGCCGTGGGGTCCTCGGTGTCGGTTCCGACCCTCTTGGTGCCCCATCACGGCTCCGGCTGTGGGGTGGAGCTGTGGGGCTGGGGACATCGATTGCGGGGTTTTCCCAGTGGGGTTTGTTTGCTCGTGGGTCCCTCGGCCTGCGGGTCTTGGGGTCTGCGGGACGGCGGATGTCGATCGCGAGGCTCCCCGATGGGGTTTCCCCCTTGGCGGGGGGTGATCACAGCCCCAGATGTGGGGTGGCGCTGTGGGGGGTGGGGGGACATTGATCCCTAAGGCGCTCAATGGGGTTTGTTCCTTGCGGAGGTGCCAAAACGGCTCCAGGAAGGGGGTGGTGCTGTGGGGTGGGCAGGAGCACCCAGCCCCACTGCTGCGATGGGAGAGGTGGGGGCACGCAGGCGCCGTGGGGCCACTCATCACGGAGGTCCCCAGTGGGGTTTTGTCCTCTCTTGGCGTCCCATCGTGGGGTGGTGCTGTGGGGCAGAGGACACCGATCCCGGGGGCTGCAGTGGCGTCGGCCCTCTCCTGGGGTCCCATAGGGCTGCGGGCGGAGCTGTGGGGTGGCTGGATGGAGGCACCCCCACCCCACTGCTGGGGGAGGAGGGGGAGCGACATCGGCCCAAGGGGCTCCAATGGGGTTTGTCCCATCGTGGCCCCAAGAGTGGGGTGGTGGGCACCAATCCCGGGGGTCTCCAATGGGGTTTGTCCCCTCCAAGGCTGGGTCCTGTTATGGTCCCAAGCGTGGGGTGACGCTATGGGGGAGATGGGGTCGCCCTCAGACCCACCGCTGGAGGGTTGGGGGGGAAGGCAGCACGCGAGGGTTCGTGGCACTGATCCTGGGGGTCCCCAGTGGGGTTTGTCCCCTGGTGAGGATCCCATCACATCCTCCGGCGTGGGGTGGATCTATGGGGTGCGTGGGGGGACCTGCAGTCCCACTGCAGGGGAAGGAAAGGGGTTGGGGAAATGCAGGCCGGAAGGGTGGGGGGCACTGAGCCCGGGGTCCCCAATGGTGTCTGACCCCTCGTGGGGTCCCAAAACGGCGCAGTGTGTGGGGTGGAGCTGTGGGGTGGGCGCCGACCCCACTGCGAGTCGGGGAGGGGCGGCCGCAGAGAAAAACATCCAACAAACCTCCATCATTTTCACAGTGACAGGAAAATAAAACTCTCTTTGCGGCCCCCGAAGGGCCGGGGGTTAAAAGGGAGGCAGAGCAGCTCTGCCCCCCAAGGCACGACGGCACCACGGCACCTCCAAAAAACCCCAAACCCACAAAAGCCCCGAGCTCAGCCGTCGCACAGCCCTTGAGTCCGGGTCCCACTGACAGCAGCTGGGCCCCACGGCCGCCCCACTGCGCAGCCTGCGAGCCCCCCAGTGCCACCGGGGGGACGTTGGGACGATGGCAGTGGGGGACGGCAGGGATCCCAGTGGGTGGCATTGCACAGCCTGCGTCCCCTTGGCACGTCTGACCCCAAAATGGGGGGAGTCCCTGCTCCCACGGCCCCCTGTGCCCCATTGGGATGGAGAGACCAAAACCCCAAAGGAGGGGGGGACACAGAAACCCCAAAGGGGGGGGGACTGCAGGCCCTGGGGAGCCCCGTCCCCATATCCCCCAGGGATGGGGACACCAAAACCCGCCCAGCACCACCGCGTCCCCATCAGTGGGGTGGTGGCAGGGGACGGCTGCAGCCCCACAGCCCCGGCTCAGCCCCACAGCCCCCCCTGCTCATCCATCCCCCATTGGCTGTGGGGTCTTTTGGGTGCAGGCCCAGCCCCCAGTGCCACGCGCCGCCCTGCAGCTCCTGGGCCGACGGCCAGTTGTGCACCACGTGCTTTTGGGGCATCATCTGCCACCGCCTTTGGGATGGCTGCTGGCTCTATGGCATCGGCCCCGCGCCGCCTTCCTCCTCCTCCTCCTCCTCCTGCTGTTCCTGTCGGTAGCGCCGCCGCCGCTCGCAGCGCGGGCAGGCAGAGCTGCTGTCGAAGCATTCCCGGTGGAAAACAGCTTTGCAGTCTTTGCATCTGGGAAACAAAACAAAACAAAAGAACACAGCGGGGGTTGGGCGCCCGCAGGGCTGGGTGGCTCCTCAGCCCCCTTCCAGAGCGACCCCCCCAGCCCGGGCTGCCCCAAACCCCAACAGAACGCCACAGTGCGACCCAGAAGGGCGAGCAGCCCGACAGCAGCGCTGCTGGCAACGCAGCCGCTCCGCAGGCCGCTGGCGGAGCCAACCTGGAGGTGGAATCCAGCTGGAAGGGGAAGATGATGTCGCTGCTGCTGCACATCTGGCAGATGAAGCCCCGCTGCGTGCACAGCTCACAGCTGTAGACGTGGTGCGACGCAAACTGGATCAGCGAGAGCAGGAAGGGCTCAAAGGCGCCGTCGGAGAGCTGCAGAGCACAGCTGGGCTCGTGACTCGCAGACAAAACGCCCCGCAGGGCCCCGCAGCCCCGTGTGCCCATGTGGGGCTCAGGGCCGCGGTGGGCGGCCGCCACAGGGGTCAGCGATGTCGGCTGCAGGACGCACTGAGTGCTGCTTGGGGCCCAGCTCTGGAGCTGCAGCAGGGCTGGGTCGCGTGGGGGTGAAATGATTCCCCGGAGCTCCTGGAGCACGAGGTCCCTCCAACCCATCCCGTCTCACCCCAACCCAATCCCATCCAAATCCCCCTCAACTCCACCCATCCCACTCCCATCCCAACCCCACTCATCCCATCCCAATCCCATCCCAATCCCATCCCAACCCATCCCATCCCCACCCCACTCAACCCACCCCAACCCAAACCACCCCAAACCCACCCCACCTCAACCCACCCCATCCATCCCATCCCACCCCAACCCACCCCAACCAATCCCAACCCAACCCCATCCAACATCCCATCCAACATCCCATCCCATTCCAACGCCACTCCATCTACCCCACTCCAATCCAACCCAACTCCATCCATCCCATCCCAACCCCAACCCACCTCAAACCAACCCCACCCCCACCCACTTTAATCCCATCCCAACCCATCCCATCCCATTTCAACTCACCCCATCCCACTCCAATCCAACCCCTCATCTCCACCCCCATCTCCATCTCTCCCATCCCCTCCCATCCCACCCCACTCCACCCCACCCCCATGATTTCAGCCCCTAAGCTGCGGTGACGACAGGAAGCCAAGTGAAGAGGAGCGGAGCGCAGTGAGACGCGCTGCTGGCGGAGGCCCCACTGGACGCAGCCCCTCCACGGAAGCACCTCCAGCACGGGCTGCTCACCTGCTGCAGGTCGGCCACGCTGTACTTGTGGGGGCACTCCAGGAGGTAGTTCCTGTGATCCAGGCTGCAAATAAGCACAGAGAGGAGCTCGGTGGGAGCTTCCCACGTCTTGGAGGGGCGAGGAGGAGCCCAGGGGATGAAGGCTCCGGGTGACTGCAATCCTGACACGGCGCCAAGCGACGCATCGCAGATCCTGCCATTGAAAACTGTTTGGGAGCATTTCAAAAGGGGGAAAAGCAATCTCCCATCTGTTTGCCCAGGTGTTTCCTGTCCAGCCCCGGCCAGGAAAGCGCTTCCTCCGGCCCATCTCCACGCGCGGCCCCACGGACACACGGGGAGCTTCCTCCAGCAGATGGCAGGGAGGGGAAACCAGCCCGCGTCCCATGGAACGGCTGCCAGCGCCCAGGGGGGTCAGAAACGGCGCGGTTTGGTGGGGGCAGCACAGGGGGCGCAGCTTCCAACTGGAAGGGGAAACTGGGCTCGGATGTGGGGAGGAAGTCCTGCGGTTCTGTGACCTGCGAGGTCTCTTCAAACCCTGTGCCCTACCTCCATGGCTCCGTGATCTCCGAGTCCCTGCCAACCCCACTGTGCCACGATTCCATGGCTCTACCACCTTTAAGGTCCTTTCCAACCCAACCGTGCCACAACTCCATAATCCTGCAATCTTTAAGCTCCCTTCCGATCCAACCGTGCTGCGATTCCGTAATTCTGCAACCCCTGAGCTCCCTTTCAACCCCAGCACGGCAGCAACGGCGACAGACGGAGCAAGGTGCCACCCAGCAGAAGGCAGCCGGGCTGCTCACCGTTTGCTCAGCTCCTTCAGGGCCCCGCTGCGGCACACGCTCAGGTAATCCCCCAACAGCTTCAGCTGCTCCCGGCTCCGCCGCACGCGCCTCATCCTCTCCACGTGGTCGTAGAGGCTCTCGTTGACCAACTTGAGATCGATCAGCGGCTGCTTACGGATCTGGGTGAGGAACTTCAGCGCCTGACGGCAAACCTACGGCAGAGGGAGGGGGACGGTCACCCAGAGGGCCCTGCAGGGCCGCCCCCACACTCGGCCCCATCCTCCTCACCCCTCTCTTGCTCAGGTCCCAGTTGTGGATGAGGCGTGAGGGGATGAGCGCCTCGTCGTCCCGGTGGCAGCTGTCGCAGTAGTAGAGGCCGGAGTAGGCACAGAGCTTGGGTTTGGCGAAGGAGAAGCCGATCTGCCTGGAGCAGCCTTTGGGGAACAGAGAACAGGAAGTCAGAGGGGAGCTGGGGGGGGATGTGGGGTGAGACGTGGGGCAGGAAAACCTGGCAAGGGGGTGGACATGGGGTGAAGCACGTTCCAGTCGGTCAGAGCAGGACGGAGCAACCCTATGCACCAGGCATCGCGACCATTCCTGAGCCCATCTCGGCTGTAATCCATAAATCGTTACGATGGTCTTTATTTAGATGACACCAATCCAATCCTACTCAGCCCAACCCAATCATTCCACGGTTCTATGATTCTGAAGGTCTCTCCCAACCCAACCCTACTCAACACAACCCAACCATTCCATCATTCTGTGCTCCTCAGGGTCCCTTCCAACCCAACCAGGCCGTGATTCCACAGTTCTGTGATCTTTGAGGC